TTCAAGGATTCCCCTCCTGTGGGGAGCAGAGGCAGCTTTAAGGGACCAGGATCACAGGCAGGCCGGCTGCTGCAGTCACTATTACCCTGTCTCATTTTCTGTCACAGCACAGGGGCACCTACAGGATAAAGATCTATGAGAAGGAGGATCACAGAGGCAACATGGTAGAGTTAACCGAGGACTCTCCACAAGTCATGGACCAGCTACGCTCCCCCGAGATGCTCTCTTGTTCTGTGCTGGACGGGTACTGGATCCTTTACGAATTGCCGAATTACAGAGGCCGCCAGTACCTCCTGAGGCCAGGGCAGTACCGGAGATTCAGCGAGTGGGGCTCTATGAGTGGCAGAGTCGGCTCTTTGAGACGTGCCACTGATCTCTACTGAATCAAGACGCCTTTTGTCTGGAAGGGTCTTAATGAATAAAATGCTTTAGCAACCATTGTGCTCTCCATGTGCTGTTGTAAGTGTACTAAGGGGAACGTCGAGGCTTGTCGTGTGTTCTTGGGCTACGGTATCATCTTCTGATCCAAAATTAGTCCCTCATCTTTCCCTGCCCTCCCCCAGCATTGCATAGCTACTTCCAGCACAAAGTGCTCAACGCCAAACACAGGGCTCAGATCTAGGCAGCCACACAAGGGCGTACAGGAGCACCAGGCTCCGTCCCAATCATCTCCATGGCTGTGCAGACCTTACCCAAAATGCAGTGTGCAGGCCACTTCATAGGAGCTGAACTATAGAATGAAACATACAGGGCTTGGAGGATAGAGAGGCGGCGGGAGGACTGTAACCATACAGCTGTAGTCTAGATGATAATCCTCTAGCCCACCCATGGTCACAGATTTGGAGCTAGGGCTAAAGAGGTACTGGGAGCATCACCAGGGAGCAATAGCCGGCGCCCCCTCAGCCAGGCATGGAGCAGGCAGAGCTGGGCACCCAGCTGATGGCAGGAATGAACCACATCCTCCTCCCAGCCGAGAGACAGCATCAATCATAGCTCTCTGCCCAGCCGAGCCTCAGGCCCGAGTTACCTGAGCACCGATCCAGCCAGGGCAGGATTAACTAGCTATAGGGACCACAGGCCTAGGTCAAGGGCCCCAGCTCCTGGAATCACCGGATTACACTGGAACTTTCTGTGCATAACGAAAACTGAGGTGTCTGTCCCAGGGGTGTGTGAAGCACAGCTTGAATATGACCCAGGTGGAACCAATTCAGAGACATCTGCCCAAGTCTGTAGCCAGCCTGAAACAATACCTCTGAGGGGGCTGAACAGACCCATGCGCTTCAGTGTGAGGTTAACTGTAGGAGCCACCAACAGCAGCCCAGCAGAAGACTCTGGGAGGCAAGAAGAGAAGAGCACCCCTGGCCCAGTTCACCCATCCAAAGAGATACACCCAGGCTCAAGGGTGAGTCCTGGGAACTACCCTACCTCTATCCCTTCAGCTCAGGGTATGAGGGTCAAATGACCCCTGTTGTCCCTGAGGCTAGAGGGACCTTGGTCCCACTTCCAGAAGCAAATGCCCCCTTCCATCGGGTACTCACACTGTGACTCATCTCTCTCTATTTTTTCATGACTCGGGGTGTTGTGTGTGACTTCATGACTCAGCCCTCTGGCTAGGGCACTACTGTCACCCCCTCCAGGTTATGAGGCTCCCTCCAGACCAGCTGTCTGGTGGGCATTTCCCACAATCCTGTGCTACTTCCCAATTAGCCCCTCTAGCACCCAGGATCTAATCTTTAAAAAAAACTGCATGTCAGCAAAACTGTCTTCCCTGAAGACCTTCACTAGTAACCTCACTGCAGCCTGACAGTTTGCCTTTCAGTATGTACCATTGTAGTCTTGCTCCCTGCCAGCCTTTTCCAAAAGCAGAGTGGTACAGTCTGCGCTTAACATAGGATTGACCTGGCTCCTCTGAAGTCTTTTGGAAGACAGGACTCAGGAGGTAAACAGATCAGCTGGCTAAAAACAGAATGTTTGTGCTAAGAAAAGTAAATGGGTCTTTAAGCTAAGAGAGAAAGTTTCTCAGCTAGCTAGGAGGGGGAACACCCAGGGAACCATTTACTATGAACAAAATAATAATGGACACAATAAGTCGGGAATGAAAACATGAGGTAAAGAGTAGGTCAAACATGGACAGAGCATGCTGTACGGGGATCGGCTCCTACAAAGTAAGCGAGCCACTGCCAGCATATGTGATGCAACATATAGAAAATGAAGTAAAATGTGTAAATGTTTATAAAGGGAGAGAGTTTCTGTGCATCTTTGGATAGATATGTCATGTGCCCTAATGTGATCTTACCCAGGATACAATCTGGACTGTTGAACAGATGTGTCCCCTCAGTTCTCCAACCTGGGGTGCCTTTTACACTGCTTCAGTGTGAGAGCAACCACTCCTGGTCTGCCCACACACAGGCTCCAGCATCTAAATTAGTCCCAGCTATACTACATGAGTGCTACATCCAGCCACTCAATTACACTGCAGGGCAACACCAGCAACAGGGCCGGCTTTAGGAAGTGTGGGGCCCAATTCGAATAGTTTCGGCGGGGCCCAATTCAAATAGTTTCGACGGGGCCCCAGCAGGGATGTCTTCCGCGGCACTGAACGACCCGCCACCGAAATGCCGACGAGGACCCGGAGCGAGTGAAGGACCCGCTGCCAAAGTGCCGCCGAAGACCCGGAGTGCCGCCGGGTGAGTAAAAATAAAAAAGGCGCCTAAGTTAGGCACTCTTCTTTAGGGCGCAGGGCCCTCTTAGGCACAGGGCCCGATTCAGGGGAATCGGCCTAAAGCAGGCCCTGACCAGCAAACTCCTGGTCTGAGACTTTCCCCCAGTAATTTGTGTCTTGTATTCAGCACCCTCCTGCACACTACAAGCTCATATAAAGGCCATCATTTTATTAATAGACAAGTATATGCACAAATCCTCTTATCTCAAATGGAGTTTCCCAAACACTTCAGTGCAAACACACTGGTTTAGATAAAACAATAGAACAAGTTTATTAACTACAGATAGATAGATTTTAAGTGATTACAAATAATGAGGCATAAAAGTCAGAACTGGTTACAAAGAAATAAAAAGAAAAACTTAAGCTAAATGAATTCAAAGCAAAGGTCTCTCTCACTACATTTTAGCAGTCTAAATGGCTGGATTCCTTTTCAGACTGGACCCCTGCCCCAAGTGACCCCAGTGTCACTTTCCTTGTCCTTCAGGTGTTGTTGATACTGTGAGCAGAGAGAAAGTGAGAAGTTTTGGGATGTCTGTTCCCCCCCTTTATAGTTCACTCTCCATCTCCAGCTGAAGTCCAGGAGACAAAGTCTGTTTGGATGGGAACCTCAAGCTCTTCCTTTGTCAAAATATAGATTTTCACTCACTCCCTCTTTCCTGCCAAAGAATGGCCACTTAACCAGGTGATTGTCCATTTGATCATGTTGACACCTGGCTGAGGCGTCAGTTTGGCTTTTGTCTCTGAAGAAGTGGTTTGTGGCTGCTCTTACTAACATAACACAATAGAATCTTAAAACTTTACATACAATGCTGCCACACATATTTTACAAGGACAATGATGATCAGGAAATTATGAACAGGAGTACTTGTGGCACCTTAGAGACTAATAAATTTGTTAGTCTCTAAGATGCCACAAGTACTCCTGTTCTTTTTGCGGATACAGACTAACACAGCTGCTACTCTGAAACAGTAAATTATGAGTTTTTGAATGATACCTCACAAGGCATGCTTTGTATGAAATGTATCATGGTCCAATAAAAGGAGTGCAAATGGGGGTACAGACTGTCACACTACATCCACCACCACCTTACATTTGAGTTTCATCAGTTCAGTGAAGTGTTGCTGTATGCCAAATAAAGATAACTGAATGACAAAGCCTGGAGTTGAACTGAGTTGTTGTGAAGAAGAGTGGAAAGAGGTCTCAGAGAAAAATCACACCACCTACTTCACAAGGGTCTTTTGAGAATAAATACTTTAAAGATGGTGAAGCACTTTGAGCTCTATTGAGGAAAACCTTTATATAAGAAATTGGCATTTCAATCAAATCAATTCAGAACTTGACATTACGGACTTATGTAGATTAGGAAAATTTGCACCAGTCCAACTACATCAATCTAATTGTACAAGCAAAAACCTCTAAAGTCAAACACACTGAGCAGTGCAAAAACAACCCTGTATAGACAGGGCCTAAGTACATAGGTTCAATCCAATATTATGCTGCACCCATAAGACACCATTATAAAAGAAAAGTTACTCCACAATAGCTGGAAAATTATTTCTGTAGCTAGACTAGCAACACTGCCTCCTGCCCTCTGAAACTACACCTATGTTAAAAAGTGGGGGGCTTGGTGAGTGCAGGGCACACCCAACCCCTGCTGCAGTTCCCCACGACGTAGCTCAGGGGAAGAGGTGGAGTGGGGGTGGGGCTGGGGTGGAGCAGAGGTGGGAAGAGGCGGGGTGGGGCGGAGCAGGGGTTTTGGGGAAGAGGTGGAGTGGGGGCGGGGCTTGGCGGAGCAAAGGTGGGAAGAGGCGGGGTGGGGCAGAGCAGAGGCAGGGGCTTTGGGGAACGGATGGAGTGGGGGCAGGCCTGGGGCGGAGCAGGCTCAGGGGTTTGGGGAAGGAGTGGAGTGGGCATGAGGAAGGAGCAGCTTTCCTGGCCAGCTTAGCTGCGTAGTTTGTGTATGGGTACGGACGGCCCTGACTCGGAGAGAATCACAGAACTATTAATGTGGATTTTTTTTTTTTCCAGAGACGGTGGGGAGGAGGGGTTGGCCGGCAAGGCCCCCCCCACCCCACGTTCAGTAGCAGTGGCGGCAGCAGCAGTAGTCCAGGAAAGAAGCTCTAGCCAGCAACAGCAGCCCAGGGAGAGCTCCAGCTAGCAGGGCAGGTGGAGAGGAGAAGGAGAAGGGAGAGCTCCATTGGCAGGCAGGCAGAGCAAGCTGCTTCTGCAGGGGCGGGAGGGGAGGAAGATTGCTGTGCTGTGCAGAGCCAGGGGCTGATGTGGGGGGGAGGTGTCCCCCACCCGCAGGATTGGTTGCTCAGGCTGCTGTCTGAACTTAGATCGACAGCATGCCGACACACTCTCCCCCAACACACACTCTCCCCCCCACACACACAATCTCTCACACTGTCCCCCAACACTCTGTTTCTGTCTCTCTCTCACACACACACA